CTCTGACCTCCTCTCACATGCTGTGGCACATGCATGTGTGCACATGTAAATAAACAAAGTAATGAAAATTTAAAATAAATAATAATCTTAAGTGAATTCTTCCAGCGAGTGTAGAGCTAAAATTTTAAATGGAGAAAACATTATTGAATAGTTAAGTAGGTATCTTAATCTCAGAAAAATGGTGGTGTGTCTTTAAAAAATCTAGGGTGTCTAATATTTAAAGAATTCAACTATTTAAAAAGAGTGAATCAGTGATGTTACATTTGCTTAAAGTTCATAAAAGTTTCTAAAAAGTGAATATTTGCTTGCCCTTTCCCTGAAGAGTAGGGAGGAATGTAGGGCCCACTGTAAGTCATGTGATGTGTGAGATCAGCCATGGGGAGCAGCAAGAGGCAACAGGAAAACCTATGGAAGAACTGATTCATAAGTTTGGGATGTGTTATCAAAAGACGAGGAAGCCATGAGCCCCAAGCACTACTTTCTATGGACTATGTTCTACCTTCTATCAGTTCTATGAGAAAGTCCTTCCCTCAATCACACCTGTGACTAGCAGCATTGCTCTAAAACCCAAGGTCATTAGAGAAATACCCAGGTACCTCCCACATGGGCCTAATATGATTAATACGCATGATTTTAAAGGATGCACCTTATAAACATAATAGCAATTGCAATTAATGAGTATTTGTATATGTGCCGGTGGGCTTTCTCTCTGAGTAAAATGAATCAGTGGTGTTATTCTCTCTTGCTCTGTCTCTGACTCTCTGTCTCATCTCTGTCTCTGTGTGTGCATCTCTCTCTGTCTCTCTGTCTCTCTGACTCTCTCTCTCTCTGTCTCTCTCTCTGTCTCTCTGTCTCTCTGTCTCTCTCTCTCTCTGTCTCTCTCTCACATACACACACACACACACACACACACACACACACATACACACACACACACCATAACTATGTATGTGCACAATTTGTCTTTTTTCATTTCCTAGACACTGAGCAGCTTAGCTCTTGGTGGATATAGAATACAATTGTTCAATTATCTCATGTTTATGGTTTCTTAATTTTCATAGGTTAGACACCCAAATCACAGCTGTCAGACAAAGGAAAATGAGGAAATACAATTCTGGGAAAAACTAAGTTGTCCTTGCCCTCACAAAACAACATTTGGTAACAGCTGTTCTTATACATGACTTCACATTTTTTAAAGCCAATTATAACATCATTACAAAAGCGCCTGAGAATCTGTTTGGTTCAAATCTTTGGCTATTATTTACTTTAAATATATATATCATGTTTAACAGGGTCTCACTATGCAGCTCTAGCTGGCCTGGAACTCCCTATGTAGACCAGGCTGGCCTCGAACTCACAGAGATACTCCTACAAATGCTGTGATGAAAGGCACATGCTACCGAGCCCTGCTTGTTTTGATTTGTTTGTTGGGGTTTGTTGTTATTCTTTTGTGACTTAATAATTTGACCATTAGTTTTGTCCTCTAAACATTATTTTGCACTATGCACCCGAATTCTTACAGCCTTCTGTATAGCAGCTTCTATAGGTCAAACATGTTTCCCAAATCACATGTGTTGGAAGTTCAGCCCAAAATACAGCAAAATTGGAAAGTTAAGGCTTAATGAGACTTGATAAGGTCAAATACTAGTTAACACTTGCTGGGCTATTTGGGGTTTGTTTATGTTTGGCCTTCTGGCCTCTGTCTCATGCTTGCTTGCAACCTTGCCGGGCTGTAAGGCATCAAGAAGGGACCCCTAGGTACAGCCCCTTGCCATTGGATTTTCCACCTCCAGAATCCTGAGTAGACTATTATCTACACTATCTTCATTATAAATTCCTCAGTCTGCGGCATTTTGTTATAACAAATAGCAGGAAGTATGGGAGGGAACAAGTGTGTGTGTGGGGGGAGTGTTGAAAAGAAGAAGAAAAGAACCTAAATATCCATTTTGGGGGAATCAGTTTTGTAAATGTATTCTATTCATTCTCACAATTTGAATCTGAAAAGTCTCCCAGAGACTCTGATTTGAACACTTACTCCACAGTTGGTGTTTGAGGAGGTTCTGAAGGCTTGGGGGTGGGGGTGGGGGCATCTAACTCAAGGAGGTGGGTCACTAGGGTTGGGTCCTATGGGGTATATTATCCCTAGCTGCTTCCTGGCTTTCCTCCACGTGCTCCTGCCTCTGTGCTAGTCTGCTCAAGGGTTCAGCCTGTGAAAAAGAAAACGGGGAAGCACATATAGTCCTGGATAGAAGGGAGAAGAGGGGGCTGCTGGGACAACGCTGTGAATCACTGAAATGGAGTGAACCCCAAGACCAAATGTCAAAGCTGATATCACCAGAGATCTGACAGTTCCACAGACCCGGGAGAGTACTCAAAACTAAAGTTGGATAGGAATGGGTTTAAGGGGGGGGAAAAAGTAAAAACACAGAAAATATAAACAACTCTTTCATAGTATTTTACTTTTAGGGAAGAGAAGAAAATAACAGTATCACAGACATAATACATGGCCTAAATAATCTACAAAGGGATACACTCAACAATCATATAAATTTTCTTTTAAAATAGGTCCAACTAGGCTTATGGTAAGAAAGAAGCAAGTAACAAGTCTGTCAGGTTATCTATCCGCAAATAATGAGTGGAAAGGCATTTGTCTTATAATTGCCCATTGCAATAATTCGCTGTATAGTTTATCAGCCAATGAATTAATTTTATGCCTTTCTCTCTATATTTGTCACAGTTCAAATGTTGAAGACTAAGATCACGTGGCAACAGACAGTATCACTACTGCATCCTAAAAATCACTTAGAAGAGCTGGATGTCACTCACTCAGTAGACTGCTTGCCTAAGAAGCCCTGGGTTTGATTCCCAGCACCCCATAAATGGGTGGTCCATACCTATAATCCCAGCACCCAGGCAGTAGAGGCAGGAGAAGTTCAAGACCATCCTAGGCTACAAAGTGAGTTTAAGGCCAGATTGGGCTATATGTTGTTTGTTTGTTTGTCTGTGTGTGTGTGTGTGTGTGTGTGCATGTGTGTGTGCATGTGTGTGTGCTTGAGAAGGAATAAACTATAAACAGATCAATTTAAATAGAAACTCCAAAAGCCTGTATTTATGAAGTCTGGCCAGTAGGTGAACATTTGCACTTTTCTAGTTTAATTAAAATTGGAATTTGTAAATCACATAGAATCTTAAGAATCTGAACCCAGCATAAGCCTTTTCTTCATTTTTAACTCCACAGGACATATTTTTTAGTATGAGTGTTTGCCTCTAAGGATAAAAAAAGAATGCAAAGCAGTATCTGCCAAGTGAATTCATTTATTTTGGCTTTCTTCTTTTTTTTTCTGAGTATGTTTAGGTCTTATTTCCAAGACCTCCCACTTGACAAACACAAACCATTTGGTCCTATATTAGTGATCTAAGTCTGAAGCAATGACTGTTTTTTCCTCGATAAATTCATGGGAGAAGAAAGCCTCACATTGCAAAAGAGGAAAGCGGGCGCCTGCCAAGCACCACAAGCTCCCCCGTGAATGAGCTGGCCTGGATATGAGCAGCAGATGCCTGCAACATTCCAGTTGTTTTCAAACAAGCACCAGCAGGGTATCTGAGTTCTAAGACTCCCTGGCTAATCAACATGGAATTCACTTCACTCTGTTCGAGTTTCAAAGGGGAGGACCCTCGGCTTCAGGAGGCACTATGAGGGAGACAAATGCCTGGCTGGTTGATCCCCTTTCCAGCACAAAGGCAGCAAAAAAAAGCTGGAAGTAAGTTCAAATGTGTTCCCCAAAAGAGGACTTCAACACATTCTGCTCTCCCAGACTGCACACAAAGCATCTGTGGGTGGTAAAAGATTATTTCATTTTAGAGCACACCCAACAAAAAGAGCTAGAAATGCTTCTATGCCAAACCTAACTGGCAATGTCGAACTTTCAATTTTCAAAACATTAATACTCAAATATCGTACGTGCTGATTAAAGCTACTGTCTCATTCTGTGCCTGCGTGAGTCGAGATGCCTTTTTTTAAAAAATCAGAAGTGAAGCAAAAAGTAACTGCATTGATGTTTTATAGTATAACTAACAAGGTGTGCGCGCCTGCGCGCATGCGCACGCGCGCATGCGCACATACGTGCATTCCTAATTTCTGGTTGATCTATTTAGTTAGCCTCTGCTGTTTTCTGGGATTCATTCCAAGACTGTGAAAGGTATCACTGCAGTTGTCATCTCCGTTATTGAGGCTCATTTCGGAGACGCTCTGAAGCGGTCTGAAAAACCACTTTTTAAACATTCTGTACACAGCTTTATGCTAAAAGGTCGTGAGCACCACTCAGGAATTGATGGGAAACGTACAGTTTTTGGTGCTCTCCCAAATATTTTTCCTCCAAATATAAAATACAAAAAAAAGTACTATGTTAAAGCCACACATTTAGGTAGTTCCCTTTCTTCTTTCTTTCTCTCTCTCTTTCTTTCTTTCTTTCTTTCTATTTCTTTTGTTTTTCAATGTTGGAAACATTGGCTTAGAGGCAATATGATTTTTAAGTTAGTACTAGGTGACCTATTCATGTATAAACTATATATTTCCAAGCTCTTTACAAATACTGTGTTTTCTCTTGAAAACATAGGTAAGTGCACATAATAACCCCCAAGATCAATGGAGTCTTTTTAGTTTCACTAAACAATTACAGAAGTCTACATTTTCAATATGGAGTATTAATAAACCTGAGGTATTATTAAAAGGCCCTCAGAAAAGATATTAATCTAACCCTCTAAACATGATAGATGAAGAAACCCATGGAGGTTCGTCTAAGCACACACTTAAGATAAACTGGAAACCACCGCAGAACTCAGGTGCTGTGTCTCCAGGTCCGCAGCTCTAGGGGACGCTTGTGTCCCTCACTGCCTTGATACACACAGACCCTCAGGCCCCCTCCAAAGAACTCTCTCTGCCGTCCACAAGTAGCGTACCCCCACCCCCATACCCAGTTTCTTAGATGGCGTCAACATACCTGGGTTTGCAGAACAGATTCCTCGGTCGGCTCTGGTTCTTTTTCCCTCTCCGCTGCAAATCCTTTTAAAGGAGTGCTTCGGCTGGGGCTCGGCTTGGGGCTTTGGTTGGCTGGCGGGCTGGCTTTTCTATTTGTTTTGTTTTTAATTTGCTCGGGGAGGGGGAAGAGGGTGGGAAACTTAGCCCGCCCCACAATACATTTTTTTCCCCTTGTGTCTTTCAAACCAACCCACCCTCTTCTCTGCAACCCCAGCTTAAAGGGTTGCGGTCGCAGTCCCGGGCAGTTTCCAAAGTGGCGGGAGGCCTGGAGAAGTTGCGTGGCCCTCCGCAGGTGCCGCCCAAATCAACCGCCTGGTCCCCAGACCTGCTGCTGCGACCTGCTGCGCAGCCCTGGGTGACTCTGTGCCAGGGGTTCGGGCCGGGAAGGGAGTCCCACCTGTGTCGCGGGCTGACGTTGAGGCACGGGATGCTTGAGCTCTGTGTCGCTGGCTCTGAAGGTGCCAGCCACTAGCACGCGGGCGCGCCACTGCGGGGCACTGGCCACACAGGTGACCGCGCGGCGGCGGGGACGCTGCGCGCGTGGCCGAGGCGGGAGCTTGGGCTTTGGGGCTGCTCCTGGCCTCTACAGCAGCAGGTGTGGGAAATGCTGCACTAATAAACGCCAGGACTGGAAGAAGGGGGAACCGGAACCAGGAAAGACCCCAAATAGGAAAGTCATGAGTTCCCTGTCCCACAAAGTGCAAAGTGCGGCAGCCACCATCTCTTTCTGCCTTGCTTGTCCCAAAGGGGAGGAGGGCATTCCTGCGTTTAGTTGACCAATGACCACCTCGTTTTCCATCCTTGAACTCAATGACATTGATGTAGCAAGTTAAAAAAAATTTATTTGTCCTTAGAGAGTCAGAGTCCAACCTCAAAGTACATAAACATTTTGTTGTTCTCTGATCAAAACGTGTATTCACTTATCTGTTTACTTCCCTAATGAATGTTGATTGAGGACAAATTGTGTTATATTACTTTCTTTGAACTTGGGGGAAGAGGACATACACCTTCCTAACATTTCCAGTTGTACAGTTGATCTGAAGGAAAACAGAGTAAAGATGAAAGAATAAAAGTGAGTGGAGATACTTTAGATTGGGTAGATAGTAATGGGCAAAGGCCTCTCAAGGTAAATTTGACCTGCATTCCCCTCAGAAGGCCATCAGACGTGGGCACAGAGAGTGAGTCACCTGAATTAACCCAGCCACAGTAGGGTTGAGAAGAAGACATCCTTCATTATTGGGATGGGTCTTTTCCCCAAAGGCGAGTGTCCTTACAGTAGAGACACAGGTACAAAGAAGGCGGCATAAGACCAAGACAGACACTGGAATTATGTGGCCAGCTCCTGTTCCAGTGGATAAATGCCACCCGTGGAATCTGTAATAGGACTCCTCCCCATAAGCAAGTTCTTTCAGGACCAGTGACACTTTTCTCTCAAGCACATGGCCCTGTGAACCATATGTTGAAGCCGATTTATTCAGAAATGCCACAAATACCCATTAATTAAATAGGCTTTGTGGGTATCTGAGGTATGCAACATTAGACTAGAAACGCTACCTTCTGTTTTCACCAAACTGCTGCAAATAACAAATAGAAAAAATGTTTCCATTGAATAGAGGAGAAAATTGAAGTGGAGACTTTGGTTTCTCCAAATTACTAGTACTCAAACAACACAAAAAGAAACCTTAACAAAGTAATTAAATAATCAAATTAGCACATTCATTTCCTATGGCAGCTATAACAAATTATGACAAACATAAAGATTTATTCCTCCTGCTCAGGATGTCAGCAGGTCTGCAGTCTCCCCCAGGTCCCCAGGGGACCCTCCAGTCTGCCTCTTCCAGCCTTAGACTTTGGGCATTCTTTGTCTTGTGGCCACACGATTCCGGTCTCTGCCTTTGTCACATGCTACCTTCTTTGCCTGTGTGTCATCTATTCTTTTTACTGTAAGGACAATCACCTTTGGAGTGTGGACCCGGCTCCATACGGAAGGATGATCCTTAATTATATCTACACAACTTCCTTTTTTCTAAATATGGTCACAGTCATAGACTCTAGGGATTGGGCCGTGGACATTTGCTGAGAGGAGATACTGAACCTATCACAACAACTAAACAAATAGAGACTAAATCCTTGGCCACTGTGGTATTAGGACATAGTCCCAGCGTCATTATTCAAAATTGTACTGACACTAAGGGGAATTCATTATTTTATTACGAAAAACTAGAAAGAAATGCTGTTAAACCTGGGCATTTAGATTCTAACTCAACCCAATAAGAATATGACAAACATCAAGAAAACAAAGGCTAGCAAGGATATGGGGAAAGAGAAGTCCTTGGTCACTGTTGATGGGCATGAAACTCGCACAGCCACTAGAGAAATCAGTATGGAGGTTTCTAAACACAACAACAACAAACAAAACAAAACCCAACTGTGGTGATACCGTGTTCCCCAAAATATTGTGCACCCTAATAAACTTATCTGGGGTCAGAGAACAGAACAGCCACTAGATACAGAGGCCAGAAAATGGTGGCACACACGCCTTTAATCCTATCACTTGGGAGGCAGAGATCCATCTCTGTGAGTTCAGGGCCACACTGGAAACAACCAGGAAGACTCACACCTTTAATCCCTGGAAGTAATGGCAGAAAGCAGAAAGGTATATAAGGCGTGAAAATCAGGAACTAGCTGGTTAAGCTTTTAGGCTTTTAGCAGCAGTTCAGCTGAGACCCATTCAGAGGAGGACACAGAGGCTTCCAGTCTGAGGAAACAGGATCAGCTGAGGAACTGGTCAGGTGAGGTTAGCTGTGGCTTGTTCTGCTTCTCTGATCTTCCAGCTTTAACCCAATACCTGGCTCCAGGTATGATTTTATTATTAAGACTGTTTATGGGCTGGAGAGATGGCTCAGAGGTTAAGAGCACCGACTGCTCTTCCAGAGGTCCTGAGTTCGATTCCCAGCACCCACATGGTGGCTTACAACCATCTGTAATGAGATCTGGCACCCTCTTCTGTGTACATAATAAATAAATAAGTCTTAAAAAAAAAAGACTGTTTAAGATTCATGCTACACCCAACCTAAAAGAAGAACTACCATATGACCCAACATATACCATATGACCTAAGTATACACCCAAAAGAATCTAAGTCAACATACCACAGAGACACTCACACACCTATGGTTATAGTTCACTATTCACAATAGTTAAGAAATGGAGTGAGCCTAGATGTCGAGCAACAGAAAGCTGAGGTGGGGTATGGCTCAGTCAGAAAAGCACTGGTCTTGCAAACATGAGGATCTGAGTTTGATCCCCGAAAACCATGTGAAAAATACCTGCTACTGTAATCTGTAATCCCAGAATTGGGAAAGTTGGATAGGATCATCCCTGAAGTTCACTAGCCAGTCTATCCTATCTGGTGAGCTTTAGGCCAATGAGAGATCCTGTCTCAAAGGGGATGAGTAGCGTTCCTGAAGATGACGTCTGAGGTTGTCCTCCAGCCTACACACACACACACACACACACACACACAGAGAGAGAGAGAGAGAGAGAGAGAGAGAGAGAGAGAGAGAGAGAGAGAGAGAGCTGTGAAAGTAGAAAATAAGAATGACTTGTAAGGGAGAAGAGGGAGGAGAAAAGAATAATAGTATACAAATGGCGTGAGGGAAAAGGGGATGAGAAAGGGGGAGGAGAGGTGGAGGAGGGAGATGGGGATGGGGATGGGGGTGGAGGAGAGTGAATGGAAACAAAGCAAAATGACATATGTGTATGCAGATGCCATGCAGAAACCCATTGCTTTACATGCTAACTTCAAGAAAAAAAAAAAAAAACTTGGGCATTATGGAAAATAACTGCCCCAGGAAAAAGTATAGAAGCTCAAAGTCTCCACTCTATTGGAGTCCCATGCGTTGCTCGAAGGTTAACCACAACCCATTGCAAGCACTGTTCAGAAGTGTATCCCACCAAGATATGTCCGTATTTCTGCACTGAGTGCCCACTACACCCCCAGCTCTGAGTCAGTAGCTCCACACAGCATTTACGTTCTAATGAACTAGATACCTTTGGGTCTCAGTTTTGCTGGAACAATGCTTCATTATTTATCTCAGGCATGGTAAAGAGCTATGAAGGAATAAATGGGTCAAAAGAAACCGCAACCAATCTCTTAAGAGTCACCACCACACTGAAAAGCATCTCTATTATCTTGAGATAGAATTTACCAAAGCAAAACCGATTAACACCCTGACTCACTCCATATTTTTGGAAGTAAGGAAAAAATCCATAAAAGGAAACCTAGTGTAAAAAATAAATTAATGTGTTCGCCTATTTTCTCTTTTGAAAAAAAATCAATAGACTGCACATTTACACAGAAGCAAACCCCACTGGGATCCATCAGTCACCTCTGAGCTTACCGATATGTGAACTGGGTAAAACATTTTATCCAAGTTTTTCAGTTGTTAGTTTCAGAACGTAAACACTGCCTGATTACCGCCTTGGAAATCTTGATGCAGCCCTTCCTGAGTGCCCGCCAGTGACTTCCGTGACCGACTCTCTCCTGGATCACCTCTCTTCTCCTCCAGTTCCCTCTCACTGTCCCACACTTAGCATCTAAATCCTCAACTAACAGGGATGTAACCACCACACTGAATCACGCTGGGTGACGTATGGGGGTCACAGACAGACTCATCCAGCAACCAGCCTTGTGGTCAGTGATTTGGACTGTGACCACAATCCAGGAATGAGTTGCCTGTTATACACACACACACACACACACACACACACACACACACACGCACACACACTCATGATTGGACTTTGTGAAATGGGTACATGAACATGTAAAAAAAAGGCTGTACTAGAAAACTAGACCGATGTTATAGTTTGTTTGGTTTTTTTTTTAAAGAAATTCACTAATAAATCAATAATAAAAAATATTCAAGCAAAGTCTTGGATCACAGTAAATGCCTTCTACTTAATGGTACTGAACTGCATTTGCTGGGTAAATAATAAAACTATTTAATTAAATAATGGACTCTAAGGCCCAAGTAAACACTAGCAAAGAAAACCTTTTACATAAAGGTGTTTTAAGTTGGGGTCACATGACATGCCAGTAGCTGATAAGTGGCAGACCCACTTACTTGAGTAAATAGTAGCTAGCCCCTCTGACATTTAAAAGGGGGGGGGGAGTTCAAAGCAGATAATGTAAAACTGATTTAGCAAAAGCCTAAGATCAATTTTCCGTATTAAACACAAGTGCCCCTAAAACACACTCATTTTTCAAAAGGTTTTAGCAAGGTACGTTAAACAAAAATAGTTAATAATCAATGAAAGGAAAATAAAGTTTTAGGAAAGAAATTGGAGAATAAGGAAAATCCAAGTTCTGACATATTTGATAAACAGAATAATATCAACAAATCAAGCAGAGCTAACTTACAGGCAAGCAATGTTTTCTTTAAATCACTGATATCCAAAAGCTCTTTTAACAAGGTGCTGTCTGCAGGCCCAGAATTAACCAGTTCCTCAGC